CTAGCGAGCACTAAGTGATTCTGAGATAATGTTTTTCCAATTCAAGATACTTATTTTTAATTTCATCTTCTTAATGACAACAAAAATGAAATTCCAAGTTTTTATTGTTTTACTGTGTTAATCACAGTCTTTTATGTCTTACATAAGTTATGTGCTGAAATTTTCTAATTTTGTCATCTTGGAACAAATGACGCAGTATCAGTCTACCATTGGGTTCACATCGTGGCAGTTTCACTATACGATCAAGCCTGTAGGAGATTAGTATCATAAAGCAGGGTTTCCTGTATGTTTGTGTGTCTATATAGGTCATTCTTTAAAAAGCCCCAAGTTACCACAGTCAATACACTACTCTAGTTAGTGGAGTGTTTCCCCACAATTCTTAATATATTAAAGCAAAATTCTGAGAGAATAAACCAGTTTTTCTCAGTCTTTGCCATCTGTCCTCCCTTCAAGTTGGTTCCTGACTGATTAGTGTGGACCCATGTCTGCAAGGAGGGCTGTTTGGACAAACTCTGGAAGAATTCTTGCCCAGCACCCTGGCAGTTCCTGGCTCAGAGGCTGACCTCTGGCATGGGGGCCTCAGGCAGGCCAAACTACCTATCGGGCTGATTCATTCCTTGTTCAAATCACAGCACCTCCAGTATGTCTGCATGAACCAGGTTAGGGCAAAAACAATAAGGCATCAGCGCTTTTATCCAGCAGTCCCATGGAGGATTTAGTCCTCTAATTGTCTAGAAAAAAGAAGCAGGAAGTTAAAACCAGAAGAATTTTGCTTTAAATTATCTTGCTGACAGTATTGCCAGGGACTGATGGAGCACTGCAAAAGTTTAAGTATCAAAAACACCTGTGTGATACAACGTTTTTTCTTTATTACTGCCAATCTCACATCTGCTAACAAGGGCATCAGCCGGTTACCAAGTATCATCGCTGCATCTAAAACAGGGAGTATGTATTCCATACATATCTGTTTGATTAATGAGGCAAAAGAATGAGAATCCTGAAGGGATGCCACAAAGACTAGTAAGTTAAAATTAAATACCAGTATCAAAATTATTATACAAATACAGTAACTTCATTTTAAAAATCTCAGAGGAATCAATACAGGCTGACAAATATACATACTGGTGCTTGGTCTATTTCAAGAGCAAGGTGTTCTTATCCAGATTCACCACAGTGTTCATCAAAAAAAAAAAAGCATCTCTTCAGAAGCTCAGAAATGTTTTTAGGCACTAAATCTTAGAGCACAAGTGGTAAGCTAGTTAAGATCAGATATTGTCAATACTTTGGAGAAATAACCAGAGTGCTTATGTCAGAATTACTGTGTTGAAGCCAGAAAGGAGAGAACGTGAACTTAAACTAGTACATTCCAGTATGTGGGTCTGGCTATAAGAAGAGTCCCTGGGTCTTTAAAAGGCCAAGAAATGAACATAATGATTCTCTTGAGTAACTTTCTAAACTAAAGTCCTCTTTGGAAACAACAAAAGTCATGTGTACCTAACTCAGCTTATTCTCCTTAATTATATTTCAATTACAGGTACAGTAATGATGCTCAAATAATAGCTAACTTTTCTAAATCCTATGTTCCAGGTAGAGTTCCTAAGCCTATCATATACATATTACTCATTTAGTCTTATTACCCCCATTTTACTGATAAGGAAACTGAGGCTGCGGGTTGACTTGCCCAAGGCCACACAAAACTAGAAGTGGCAGGCCTGAGAGCTCAATGCAGGCACCCTCAAAGAGTAAAGTAAGAGTCTTTTCCATGGGTAGAAGAGTAGAACCAAAGTTTTAGCCCGAGTAGACGTGAAAGAGTCACACTCCTAGGGGGGCATCGGGACCACCTGTGTCTTAATCACTTGCGTGTCTCTTAAGTTCAAAAAATATGCAAGTTGCCAGGGATTCTCACATAGTATACTAGCGTTTGGAGAAGCACTGCCCTGCTCCAACACCAATGGTATTATGCTCCCCTAGCAGAGACCATAAAGAACACAATTACCGGTAACAGATTCCAGGTGTTCCTGGCAGAATCTGGTTCTTCATCCTTGCTATGATCCCCAAACTTAGCCAGACATGAAAGTCTTTGAAGTCAAGTTATTCTTGAAATGATTTAATTCTATTGCTCTAGGAACAATCTACTATAGGAAAGCATGACTATGTTAACCCGAAATTTGAAAACTGATCATCAAGTTTTAACAGCCAGTATCTATCTCCATAGTGAAAAAAAAAAAAAAAATAACTGTTGCTGGGCCTTTGCTCAACATCGATACGCTGTATCCATTCATGCTGGCAATCATCAACAGTACACAGGAAACTCAGGTCTGAAAAACCCAATCAATAATTTTTTAAATTCTCAATTGTGAAGTCTGGCACTTCCATGTAAGGTTTCTCCAAAATTGAGACAGAATCTCTGATTGAAAATGGGATACTTACTGACCATCTGCCACTGGGCACAGATCCTGCCCAGCTGGATTTTTTTTTTTTTTTAACTTGGGGTCTATGAACTTGAACTGGATGATCAGTCATATTTTCACTAATCTTTAACTGAGATATGGCATTTCCTTCAGTTACAAATGGAAGCAGCTACTCACAGTAGATTCAGTATCTGTGACTTTATGTACAGATAACTGGGTTTTTTTTTTATATCACTTTGTAATTGTCAAACATCACAAAATGTCATTTACCCTCATTACTACTTCAAAATTAAACTAATAATGACACAGGGTGGTGTACATGTTACGGTGTCACCACTTCTTAAAAAAGATTAAGATATTGTAAATATTATTGATTTCCTTCATAATCATGCATTTGAAAACATAATTATAAATCCACTGTGCCAAAGGTGTCCACAACACACCGGAGTTAAAAGCCCTGACTAGGTAGGTGAGGGCCTGAAAAAGCTTTAATATGCTGCACATCCTACAGCATGCCAGCAATTTAGACATAGTTAACTGCTTATTCGGTTACTACTGGGATTATCGGTCTGCATTTCACCACTAAGACACACTGTGTGCAAAGATGGAGCTCCAGGCAGTTGCTAAGTGAAAGGACAAACTTCAGTAGAGCTGCAGCAACTGAGGCTTGATCGCAGGCAGGCCATCGTTAGCCTGACTCAGTTTCTCTTCTCTTCTAGCCAGACTACTATCGCTTACCCATATTGACCCTGGAAATTTTTCAAGAAAAACTAGGCTTATTTGCTTTAAAAAGACTCAAGCCCTTTGAAAGGTTTAGTTTATTTACTGTTTTGAACAACAGATCCTTAAACAATAGCTGTAATGGTCATAATTGTACTAACGTGGTTTCCACATGTGGACCCTGAATTCTACAAGGAAATCTGCTGTCAGCATAGGCTGTAAGGAAGACAGGCACAGAGGTGAGAGAAAGGACAAAGCTGTGTCTTGCTCAGAACTCTGATTTCTGTGGGCAGTGGGTGACTTCAAGATCAGTGCATACTCTCTGGGATGTGTGTGTTAACTACGTCTGTAATGGTAATATCTGGGCAATAAGATCCAGTTTCACCAGTTTAGCAAAGGGAATTCCAAAGAGAACTAACTAGAAAAACAGATGTACTCCTAAAAAAAA